AGTGGGAGAACTTGCACAATTGGTGGCTGACTAAATACTTTTTTGCCCCACTGTACCTGTTATCTAAGCAAAAGCATATTCTACTTTAATCACACTTCTCTCCTCTGGCATTTTATTTTGTTCTTGTTCTTTATATAATTTATATAGCCACCCATCTCACACAAGTGACTCTGGCTTACAAAATTCAAACAACCCCACCAAACAACCCTAGGGCCAAGGAAACCATTGATCCCACTCACCATTATCCCTGACCCAAATATCTGGGGGGAGCAGCCAGGTCTCCAATGCCTTGTGAAAGGCTATAACAGGATTAGGGCCATCCAAATCTCCAGGGGATGCTGTTCCATAGGCCAGATGCTGTCACTGAGAAGGCACGATTCTGGGGTCCAGAAGATGACATTGTTTAATGGAGGGGACCTGGAGCATGCCCTCTCAATTAGCTCTGCTGTTCCCCAAGCCAAAGGACCTTAACAAAGTCCAGTAACTTTGCTGATGCTGGATATTCCACAGAGCAAACTATTTGCCTCTGTTCAGTTGCCAAGAGCCCATCACTTCATTGTAAAGCTATTTCAGCTGCTTAACAAGAAGAAAATGTTAGAAGAGGATGCCTTGGTATGCTATGATTTTTGTGTTGCATATGCAGGCAACCAGGGGACTAGAGAGAAAAAATATATAATTTTTAAAAAACGTAACTCTACCCCCATGTGTTTTTCTCCACAATATCAGCTCAGGCTTTTTGTTATCACAATCACATTGTACTTGCTTGGTCTGCACTTTATTCTGAGACTAAAGTTCAATGCAGGGAGGAGTAATTTAGCCATATGATATTGCAGGAATCAAAAAATGGTGACTCAATAAAAAGGTCAGTTGTGTGAGTTAGCAGGTTCCTTTAATGAACTATCAGTTAACATCCTGGGGAAAGGTAAGTTGGGAATATAAAGTAAACTGCCTCAGTAGGATGGGAATTGAATGGGTCCCATGCTAATTTTTTTTTTGAAATGCCACTACTACCAGCTGTTTAAAACTAATTTCAGACATCTGTGATTCCACAGTATCAGTTCCATTCAATAACTGTGCTGATATTTCTGGATCTGCTATGTTGTATTTGAAATGTATAAGCATTTTGGAGAGGGAACAGTGAAACATGGGGGAGCCTGTCGGGGTGTGTGGGATGTCCTGCTTTCCTATTTGCAGGAATAAGATTGCCCCCATTCTCAGCTGGGGCTCAGAAAAATAGTATATACACAAATATAAATACAAAAACAAGTACACAAATTGAGTATCTGGAATATTTTTCTCAAAAATACCTTTACTTTTGACACAGTTTTCCTCTTACCTTGCTATCCTAACCCCTGGTGATTATTTACTAAATTATGATATATAAAATTATGAATTAAATAAAAATGCTGACTATCCATCCAGAATAGGGAATAATGGGCCTGAGTTGGCAATGAGAGGGCAAAATTTGTGACTGGCTCAATGTTTAACCCGAACTCCCCTCCCCAGCCTTTGTTTGCTGGGTAAACGCCGTCCTCGGTGCAGGCGCTCTATTAGTCTCTTCTATGGCCAGCAAATTCTCTTCTGCCTCAGCAAATTCGCCCCTGGACGACGCGCACCCTGACCTAATACTGCAGCGACGGGAGGGCCTGAGCTACACGCTGCTCCTCGGAGGGTTTCGCCTAACCAGCCAATAGAGTGGAAGGTGGGTTCAGTCTTCCGTGCCAAATGTGAGGCAATATCTAAAGTCCAGAGTTCTCCCCCTGACCTTTTTGCCCCATTGTAGGGAGGGGCTACTTTACCAGGCGAGGGGGCGGAGCTGTAGAAAGGAGCTCGAAGGCCGCTTCCACCTCGAAGAGCGATCTTTGGCGCGCGGGCGTAGAGGCTGAAGTGTGAGTATGAGCGATGTGTAGAGGCGAGGGTGGCCAAGTGAGTTGGGTGGCTGACGGGTCCGTGAACGGAAATAGCTCAGGGCACTTTGCACTGAGATTATTTTAGCAGAGGACTCCAGCTTTCTCGTTCACCTCCCAGTCGAGCGAAGGGGGAATCAGGAGCGTTTTTTGCAATGAAGAGATTATTTCTATTGATTGTGGTCGCACTCACACGTGCATTCGGCAGCGTGCGGATCATCCCATCGTCTCCCTTACGGATTATTCGGTCCAAATGGGGAAGATTTTTTTTTCCATTTGAAGCTGCGCTCCGCACGCAGAAAGGCGGTGCCACTCTCCGGTTAGAGAAAAAGAGTCCTTCCCGCCCCCTTGCTGTGAAATGTAGATACGGAGAAAGGATCTGTCTTTCGGATTTTCCTTTCCTGGAGCGGGCTCTTTTGTGACGGTAGAGCCCGGGGGGGGGGAGGGTTATGCTCTTCTCTGTCTCTGCAGAACAAGAAGAACACGCTTTGTTCCAGCTGGAAGAGGTATTTTCATTTCCCAAGATGGTTTAGGCCTGAAGTTTATAAAACGGGGGCGGGGTCTGTTTCAGCGGAATCTTCTCCCTCTGTTTTTTAAAGGTTGTGAGCCGCGATAATCTTACATTCCGTTACCCATCTGGTCTCCTAGCAGTATGTGCAGTATACTGACCAGAAAATTCTTAAACTGTTTGACCCCATCGCCTCTTTTCCCAGTTTCGAATTACACACACCCCCCGCCAAAAAAAAAACCAGTCTCTCCTGTTTTACACGATCCTCTCGGCAGCGGCAGTCCCAAACTGGATCCTCGACTTACAAACAAGCAATCACAAATTGCTCCATTACTCCCAGGAGATGCCCAAATTACCCCCAGTTTAAGAACCACAAGACTAGATTGAGGAGCCACTTTATTTTTGTTCCCTCTTTCTATCTTATGGAAAGTCAAGATGATTCTTGTTGCTGGAATTTGCAAGAACAGAACAACAGAATATGGGAAAGAAAAAGTAATCTACAGAATAATTCAAGAAATTATTGCATGAGGGTTTTCATATTTCTGTCACAAAATACATTTTTGTGTATCCAGTGGATGTGTAAATCAGCTATAAATACACCAGTATAAAATAATATAATTATGAAGCTCCAAAGTGGCTTATACATCTTATAATGCTTTATACAGCTTCTCTAGTACAGAAATGAGTCCCCATAGTTATTAAATATGATAATAAAAAGTATTCTGCCTTGTTTTGTAAACTCTTTCGGGTGCTTTTCTGAAAGACAGTATCAGAATTATAAGACTGGAAGGGAGCTTGGAAGTCATCTAGCCTAACCCTCTGCCCAGTTTAATAGTTTAATTAAATAAAATGCAGGTAGCTGATCTTGAAAAAACTATGCAGGGTCATACATACTGGGATGGGAGACAACCCTAGGGAATCCAGAGCTGTAAGCTAGACTGGGAAATCTATGAGGGCCAGTTTGGCATAGCAATTAAGGTGCTGGACTAGAAACTGGGAGACAGCAAGTTCTGATCCTCCCTTCAGAATGAAAGCTGACTGACTGGGCCAGTCCCTCTCTCAGCCCAACCCATCTCACAGGGTGGTTGTGGGGGAGAGAGGAGGTGGGAACATTATGTACACCACTTTGAGTTGTACAAAATAAAGATGGAATATCAATTAAGAATAATATCAAAAGGCAGTGGTGAACCACTTTTCTATTTTTGCAAGAAAACTAATGGCCATATCCATATGAGTTTGATTCTAGAGAATCTTTACTTTATATAAGATACCTTGTCACAGAGCTGTATTCAGATGAGCATGCATGTATTACATCCTCTGCAGCCTTGCATCAGACCTCGGATGCTCCTTAGCTCCAGTTTGTTCCTTCTGCGCGGCTTCCCTCGTCTATTCCATGCTGCTGCAATGAGCACCGCTACTGGTACTTTTCGACTGCAGCAACCCCTCAACTACCGAGAAGGTGCCCGCCACCAGCCTGTGGATGGGGATCACAGCGAGGAGATCTATGAACCAGCAACTGGTAATTATCTCTTGTAATGGTAATGTTGAAGTCTTGAGGGAGTTAATGTTCCACAGATGTATAATGCCTGCCCCTTATCAAAACCACAGGAATAGCTGACTTGGGAGTCTGCTCTAAAACTTTGGATTACATTTATTTGTTTTCTTTTCATGCCATATAGATGATATTTACATCCCCTTAGATAATTCAAATCAGATAGTACAAGAGATTAAAAAAATCACTATATTGCTTTTTCAAGTATTTTTATTGGCCCTTATCTTTGTTATGATAGGGCTTAACATTAATCTGCTGATAGAAGACTTTGGTTGAGAGTTGTTATGCAAGGTAGATTCCTTAGTATATATGAGTGCTGATGCCAGTACAAATAATGCAGCAGGGATATTTATTTAGACACATATTTTGAAATTAGCTTTGGCTTACAAAGTGGTTGAGATTTTTCATTTTGGAAAGTTGTACTGTTGCATAATGAAATCTGTGCTCTTTGCATTTTTTCCCCATCACTCAGCACGCAGTCAATGAAACTGAAAAGGTGGTGCTGCAGTCTCATGCTAATGTAGAGTGTAATAATGGCCCCAAATGTGAATCACCTTCCAAATCCTTAGTGTTTTTATTTCCTTTCTTTAGCAAGCCTAGGACCTCATGTGGCCTCCCAAATCTTAAATGTGATGCTGAGGAATTGTCAAAATTTATTTCCAAATTGGAATTTTTAATATACAGGCAGTCCTCATTTAACGACCACTCATTAAGTGACCATTCAAACTTATGACACCGCTGAACAAGTGGTAGTTACGACCAGTCCTCATACTTACAGCTGTTGCAGCATCCCTACGATTACATGATCACAATCATGGTGCCCACTCGTGATTAGGATGTCAGTGTCCCACGGTCATGTGATCATGATTTCCAACATTCCCTCCTGGCTTCTCACAAGCAAAGTCAGTGGAGAAGCTGGCAGGAAATTTCAAGTTGTGGTCACATGAGGTCCTCGCTTAATGACCCACATGGTCCTCATTTAATAACAGCAACTGGGACTGCCGGAACTGCTGTTGCTAAGCGGTGCAGTCGTGGTTTTTTGACTTATGACCATGTCACTTAACAACAGAGTTTCCGGTCCCAATTAGCATCATTAAGCGAGAACTGCCTGTAATCAAAAGAGAAAAATAGTAAATATACAACTAAAGAGTAATAATCAGTATATCTAATTATAATTATATTGAAATGTAAATGAAGTGAAATTAATAATTTTCTCAGGTCTCAACCTATATTGTTTGAGTGTGACTTCTAGTATGCCACTCAAATGTCAAGTTTAGCCCTGGCTTAATTGATATGCAAAAATTGCACCTGGATAATATAGGTATTTTGTTGTACATAACGAATGTTAGCTTTCAGTTGTGTGCTAATAGCAAATGTGAAATTATACTCTACCAGCTCACGTTTCTAGGTCTGCTATTGAACATATTTGTACATGACTTGGATGAGAGGTCAGAGTATATAATTATCAAATTTTCTGATGACACAAAGAAGAGATAATAAACCTCAAGGACAGTATCAAGATTCAGGAGGATCTTGACAACCTGGAATGATGGGTAGCAAGATCAATTTTAACAGGGACAAATAGAATGTTATATATTTGGGTAGGGAAATCAATGGCATGAATATAGGATGGGGGAGACCATATGGGACAGCATTACATGCAAAAGGGATGCAGCTATCTTGATGGATTATAAGATGAATGTGAATCAGTAGTGTGGCACATCTGCAAAACAGCAAATGCGATCTGCGCTAGGCTGTAACTGAAATATTGTGCTCATTCTGGGCATTGTAAGAAGGGCATTGGCAAATTAGAATATATCCAGAGGAGAACAGCAAAGATAAGGGTCTGGAAGAAAAGGCTTAGGAGGAATGGATGGAAGAAGAATGGTTCTGTATTTTTAGCCTGGAGAAGAAAAGACGATGGGGAGACATGCTAGCTATTTTCAAATGTCTGAAGGGTTGTCATGTGGAAGTTGAGGTGGAATTGTTCAGCATTGTTCCTCCAAGATAGGACAAGAAACCATTTAAATTACGAAGTAGATTTTATCTGGACATTAAGAAAAACTCATAACGGTAAGAGCTGCCAAACAAGGGAACAGACTGCCGTAAGAGGTGGTGGAACCTCCTTTGTGGAGGTGTTGAAACTGTGGTGGAATGACCATCTAACACGGGTGCTGTAATATTGAATTGCTGCTTATTATCAAGTCATTTTTGCATTTACTTCTTAATGTGTAGCTTTCAATATTAATGCATAGTATTAGGGTAATTAAACATTGCCAGTTGGGTTTTAGCAAACTGAACTTATTTTTTTCTTTCAGGTAGAGTTATTGGGAACTTATCCTTCTCTGGTGAGAAGGAGGTAGATCTGGCTGTAAAGAGTGCACATGCTGCTTTCAAAATATGGAGTCAGAAATCAGGCATGGAACGGAGCAGCATTTTGCTGGAGGCAGCCCGAATTATCCGGGTATGTGATATTAAAGCAATTTTGTATAGCATCTTCTGAGGTAGTGTTCAACAGTTTTTTTGGTATTGGGGGTACACTGACTTTTATGGAACCTTTTGTGGGCCACACAAGTGGATAGGACACACACTGATTCCTAGGAATCAGGGTGATTCTGGTCAAGATTGCTATTTTGTCACTTTTGATGAGCAACAAACATGTGCAAGCCTCAGGTTGTATATAGACCATAGATTGCCCACGGATGATCTACAGAAACAGGTCAAAATCCTATATCCCCATTAATATTACCAATTAATTTCACTACTCTAGTTTTCCCCCAAGCAGCTGAAAATTGTAGGAAACAAAGAATTCAGATAGAAAACCAGATCTTTTGCAAAGTTCTGGAACCTATAAATTAATGAACGTTGTGTGCGTGTCTGAGAAACCATCAAGCAATTTACCAGAGGTCTGGTAGCATCTTTTCCAACTAACAAATTTTATTAAAAAGCATAAGCTTCTGTGAGCTATAGCTCACTTCATCAGATGCAGTGGGGGCCTAGACTAATGTAAGATTTAAATTGGGGTCAGGTGGGGGGAAAGAAAAGGGGAAATGGGTTGGTTATGCAGATAATAAGTTATATATGAGCCAGGTTACAAGTACCTCATCAATTAACAATTGTCATGTGTTAAAGACTCTGTTGCCTCTGCTGCCCTGCCCTCCACTGCCCCCAGCTCACCTTTGCTGTCTTTTTCCTCCTGATGCTGGCAAGGTGTGCCTGGCCGAGGCAGCTGATGGCCCTTCACAAGACTTCCACAAAGTCTGCGTGAGGTGTTGGGGAGGCTGCATGAAGGCCTTGCAGGGAAGCGGCAGGGGTAGCAGAGTATGGGGCGGCCAAAAGGGCAGAGATGGTGGGGGAGATAGGCAGTTGGGGGGAGTTGAAGTGGAGGCGAGCGTGGCAGGCCAGGAGAAGCATGAGGTCCTCGCCTGATGAAAGCACAGTCCTCGCCTAATGACCGCAACCAGGACTACCAGACAGCTATTGCTAAGCAGTGTGGTTGTGTGATGTTTGGCAATCATATGAGTGTGGGACATTGCAACCGTTGTAAGTGCAGCCCAGTTGTCTAGCGCCCAGATTGAAATCATGTGACTGGGGGTGCTGGGACAGCTGGAACTTCTAGGACCGGTTGTAAGTACCACTCGTTCAGCTCTGTCACAACTTCGAACGGCAGCCAAACGAGTAATCGTTAACTGAGGACTACCTGTATCAAAAATATCACTTGGAAAACAGTCCAGTGCTCTAAACAAGATATGAGACACTTGGGGACTCCAGCGCCCATTTTGTGGTCCATAGAGCACTTGCAGATCATGCTGTCAAAATTCAGTTACCAACTTTTGGTAGTATGATTTTTAATTACTTTCTGCTGAATTAAGAACTGAAATTGGTAATAGTAAGCTCCATTTTAGCTCTGCTGCGCAAGTCTTGGCATTTCTTCTGTGTGACATTCCTTCAGGAATTGGCAGGTTTCTCTCATCCTGCCTCAATCTTCTTTTCTCAAGGCTAAATATACTCTCTTCCTTCAGTCTCTCTTCATTGGGCTTAGTTTCTAGTGTGCTGATCATCTTTGTTGCTCTTCCCTAAACCTGTTTCAGTTTTTCTGAATCCATCTTAATATGTGGTACCCAGAACCTGACATAGTACTTGAGCTTATGTCTGACCAAGCAAAACAAAATGGAACAATCTATTCTCATGATTTAGAAATTATATTTCCGTTAATAAAGCTTAAAATTGCATTTGCTTTCTTTGTAGCCACATCCCATTGGTGGCTATTATTCTGTTTGCAATCAACTACTACTCCAAGTCCGTTTTTCATAAGTACAATTACAAAGTCAGGTATTCCTCATCCTATAGATGTGCATTTGATTTTTGTTTCTTAGTGAATAATTTTAAACTTGTTTCTGTTACATTTCATTCTGTTACTTTCAGTACATTTCTCCAACCTATCAAGAAGGTTTTAAATTTTATTTCTGTCTTCTAGGATTATCCCACCCAATTTGATATAAACTACAAATCTGATAAAGCATTCCTTCCACCTCCTCATCCAAATCATAAATAAAAATATTTCAGAACAGAGGACTCAGCTCTGCTCCTTATGGTATCCCACTTGAATAACTCTTGAATTTGATGGGTAGCCATTGATGAGAACCCTATGATTACAATTTTCAAGGCAGTTATATATCCACTTAATTGTCACGCCAACCAGACCAAACATAAATGTCTTACTAATCAGTATGTCATGGAATACTTTGCCAATTTTTTGTTGAAAACAAGGTAAATTATGTCAAAAATTGAGATTAGAATTCTTGTCATATCTCAGAGATAATGCATTTCTGGAAGAGATGCAGAAAAGGACAAACATATTTAGTGACTGGGAGTTGCAGTATTTGGAGGTATTTAATTTAGAAAAAAAGGCAAGAAAGGGAAGACATTATACAGGTTTATAGAATTATGAAAAGGGTACAGAGATAAGCATTTTCTTTCTTGCTCATAATAAATGGAGTATCCATTTACCTTAAATAATGGAAAGTATAAGACAGATAAAGAGGATATTTCACATAAACATCGGAATTCATTACCAAAAGATGTAGCTAAGTATCAGTGGATAGTAGTCCATGGGTACATGCTGCCTCCAGGATCAGAGACACCAGATATCTAAATATCAGGCATACTGAAATGTTTAATTACGTACAGAGAAAAAGATATTTGACTAGTCTTTTGATTTAACTGAGGAGGATTTCTTTTACATTCTTATATGAAGAAATTGCAAAGTTAAAATATCAAATAAACACAATAATTACTCATTCCTGTTCCTATAACCAGTGTGTCTTTATTTGGAGGAGATCCTAGAAACCTGGTCTACTTGGAATGCACCTCACCTGCCCTGAAACCAGCCTGCCTAATCCATTGTTTGCCTGGACAGTACATGGTCCTTCGTGGCATATTGCGAGGATGAGCAACTTTTTGAGTCAGGAGCTATAACTATCTCCTGACCGGATTTCAAGCTGTAGGAAGCTTTCCCATGTCTGGGTGACATTAATGAAAGTGACAGAACTGATAATTTTGAGCCAGTTATGATAGGTTTGAGAGGTTTTGGGGGAGAAAAGATCTCCAGAGTTCTTGTGCTCCTCGTCCTATCTCTGTTTTGCCATGTCGACCTAAAAACTGTTCCATGAAATTTCAGCAGAATAAACTGGGGGTACTCCAAGAACTGTAGATCAAGTGCTGGGGGAGTGTCTCATGAAACCTGCAGATGAAATACTCCTGATGTGTGATTAACAGCACTCTAACATATCTAATTGCACATGCATAGGCTTTTCTGTAATTTTGTCAGTGCTCTGAGTACCTGTTATTTTCATGTTTCAAGATCCAGCTTTGTTGAAAAGGAATTCTTTAGCTCACTGGTTGATCCAGCAGATCACAGTTTCCAATTTTGATAACTTTTATTATATTTGTATGCTTACTTATAAAAATGCATGCAACTGTGAATCACATATTTTGATGTGTTGCTCAGCTTCTTTGGAATTTTCTTTTGAAGTGCAATACATACAAAGCCTGTTCAGGATTTGTTCTTTTTATTTTGCGTTTTATTGTGTATCCTTTTATTTAAATTGTATTTTTTTAGTGTGTATTTTATTATAAACCATCTAGAGAGGTTCAGCTACTGGGTGATTTAAACATTTTAATAAATACATAAAAAATAGAAACATTTTAGCTACCACTTAGCATGTTATATGCTACGTATTGGATTCCAGGAAAGAAGAGAAGAAATTGCTACCATAGAAACAATCAACAATGGGAAATCCATCTTTGAAGCTCTCGTGGACATTGATATATCTTGGCAGTGCCTGCAGTACTATGCTGGTCTAGCTGGCTCCTTGGCAGGTAGCTGTTACATGTTCTGTTTGTTAATTCTGTATCTTTTTTTCTTCATTAATATTCTCCTTCTTCTAATCGTCTCCTTAAATTAAAAAAAATGCTAAGTTTATAAGTATTTATTTGAGCTTTAGAACTTTTCATCCTGAATGTTTCGATACTTACCTCCTGATTAATGGGATGTGGGGCTAGCATGGAAAGCTTTAAATTATGATCTTAATTTGCATAGAATAATTTGAGCTTGCTCAAAATAAAGCTTGGTTTGTGTTATACTTTCCAAAATGTGCCAAAATTGAATAGCATTATAACCTTACCATTAGCAGGCAATGCTGCAAGTGCCATGAGTATGATTAAAGCTGGTGAATTAGTTTCTCTTTATTTTATTATATGAAAGCCATAATCCTATCTGTTGACTTCTGCAATATCAAAAAAAATGTGACTTTGAATGTAAGAGGAGTATATGGTAAAAAGCATGAATTAATGAATGAAATGATTGTTTGTGAACTAATATAAAGGGAAATGATTAATAGAGTTGAATCAATGTGATTTTATGCAGTGAAGTTGATGTATACATGCATGAAAGTGAAGGTATAAGTTTAACTGTGAATGGAAGGGCTAAAAGGGCTAACATGTATGCCACAAGTATGAGATTGTATCATCTAGATAGTTGTCAGTGCATATGAAAGTAGGAGTAGTTGCTCTAGTGAACGGTGGTAACAAAAAAACCTTTTTCAAGAGCTTTTTTAAAAATTGTGCAATATTTGCCTATCTGGGAAGGTATTTGGAAGAATTCTGATGGAAAGTATATACTGAGTGATAACAGTGAGCAAAATTTGGAAATTACTATGCTGCTTTGTGCTGGGTAGGGGTCCAGATTTTTGCTGTTCCACAGGTCATTGAGAAAGGTAATATGTAGCATATGGTCTATAAGGAATGATTGTTTAGTTGAAAGAAGTGAAAATGGCTCTGCTTCTGCCTTCTTTGTAATATAAAAAATGAGGGTTGAGTATGTCAGAAAAGTTAAATGCAGCAGGAGTAGGTTATTTAAAAACTGTGTGAAGTTACTTAGTCTGCATTAGTAGGAATCTCATTCAGGTGATTTGCTGGAATTCCATGCAGGTTAGTGAATGGAAAGTTGACAGAAGGACCGACTGCACTGTCCATATTCTTCTGGAGCACTCAGTTTCTATATGAATTGTAAGGGGAGGGGGAGTCTGTTCTTCAACAATCAGGATAGAAGGCTCTGCTCTACCCTTCCTCTACCAGTTTTCTGGATAGAAAGCTTTTTTTATTAGTCTGCTTATCATTTCTGTGAATTAGTTTATATTTCTTATGCCCAGATCTCTTTTGTCTTTTTTGCTTAGGTCAGCATATCCAGCTCCCCGAGGGATCCTTTGCTTATACCAGAAGAGAACCTCTTGGAGTCTGTGCTGGGATAGGGGCTTGGAACTACCCTTTTCAAATTGCCTGCTGGAAATCAGCCCCTGCTTTGGCCTGTGGTAAATTAGATTCACTTTTTGAGAAATGAATGAGTTTCATTCACAGAAACTAGTAGTCAGGGATTGCCTTTCTAGGAGTTTAGTGTTTTGACCATGTGAAAAATGGGGAATAAAGTTCCAATGGACTGTTATCAGAACTTGATAATAACACTTAAATAATAGTGGAAGAAAACACTTCCTAGAGACTGTCATTGATTTGGCTCCAAAACTTTTATGTGGGGTGGATATAGCTTTCTTCTGGCTGCCATTATGAATTTGTCTTAGTTGGACTGAACTTTTTTTTTCTTCACTATCACTCTTTCATTTGATTTGCAGTTGAAGCTATTTCTAAACAGAGAGAGAATGTATATCCCTTCTTTTTATCCTTGTGAATTGGGTTACCTAGGTAATGCCATGGTCTTCAAGCCTTCTCCCTTCACCCCCATCTCCATTGTGATGCTGGCAGAGATCTACAGTGAGGCTGGTGTTCCCAAGGGACTTTTCAACGTGGTGCAGGGCGGAGCTGCCACAGGCCAGTTCCTGTGCCAACACCCAAATGTGGCCAAAGTCTCATTCACCGGGAGTGTACCCACAGGTGTTAAGGTATACAATCAAGTGCTGTCACTATTGAATGATAAAGTTTAAAAAACCTTTGGGTTCTGAAGAGGTCTGGCTGCAGTTTGCCCCTTCCCCTTGGCAATTTATTGATAAACATGCATACTATGTTAAGGTCAGTTAGAAGAGTTCAAAAGAGTTGTTTTGCCACTAACCAGAACTGCCAGTGTGAGAGGCTGGTAGACCTGTACCTTGTCAAATTTACACATTTGCCAGTTGCCAAATCTACAGGTGTTTCACTGAAATCTCAAGGTCTGTGGGTTTTTTTTTTTAAGTGCACTTAAATATGCAGGAAAGACTAGGCCTATACTTTGCTGTTGTATTCAATGCTTAGTTGGAAAAGTGGAAATCACTTCTTAGTAATTCCAAATTTTACTTCTGAATTTCATGTTGCTGAAGAATTATCCAGCACTCTTTATTCAATGTATTTATAATCTATTTTTTCTGTGCTGAAGCATCTGAAACCATTTCATAGTTAAAACAGCAATAAAATACATAATTAACAACCAGTTCAAATAAAACATATTCATTACAGTTGGAGGAAGAAAAAACATTCTGATATATCAGAAAAGCCTGAATGAAGGCCCTTTTTACTTTAATAGCATAATCTTTGGTGAGAATATTGCATGTACTGAATAGTTTCTTTATAGTAAAAACAGGGTCCACGTTTATGTGAGGTAACTGCTTGGAAATACTCACCAGACACTGCCTATGTCCTGCCTAATTCACAGAAAAATTTTAATAATTGTGTTTGTGAGATGGATACTTATTCAACAAATTCTAGTGGAAGCTCTTTGCACTTACCAAGAAAACTAGAGCAGTAATTAGATGTAATTAGCAGTAATTAGTAATTAGCAGTAGAGCCTCTTGGATTTTTCCTTTTCCTTTTATTCTTTGTAAATGTGTCCTCTTTAAATTTTAACTGTATATTTATTTATTGTTTTAATATGTTGTAAGCTGCCCAGAGTCCCCCATTGGGGGGAGATGGGCAGGGACAAGTTTAATTAATTAATTAATTAATTGCCTGTGTTAGCTGCTACATCTTGTTCTGTTTTTTGTTTCAATAGATTATGGAAATGGCAGCCAAAGGGATCAAACCTGTTACTTTAGAGTTAGGGGGAAAGTCCCCCCTCATCATCTTCTCTGACTGTGTTTTGGATAATGCTGTGAAAGGAGCCCTCATGGCTAATTTTCTTACCCAGGGCGAGGTATGCAATTTTCTTATCTAAGGGGGAAGAAACTGCAGATTTGGCTATATCATTTAAAAAGTCCACTTAAATTCCACAGCAGTCCATCTCTAGTGCTGGAGAAGAAATTTGCTGTACCTTGTAAAATATTGTAATACAGAATTGGTTGTCTTGCATGATCGGGTGAGGTGCCATGATTTATTCCTCTCTTTATGGATCTATCATGGATTAAAATGATGAGAATGTAAACTCATATAACTCAAACTAATTACAGTGGTATCTCTACTTATGAATGCCCCTGCTTACGAATTTTTCGAGATACGATCAGCTCCGGCCCCAAAAATTTACCTCTACTTACGAACTCACCTCGACTTATGAACCGGATCCGCGGCCATTTTCCGCCCATTCCACATGGTCCAGCCATTTTTCCGCCCGTGCCATGTGGTCCGCAGCCATTTTCCGCCCGTGCCACGTGGTCTGCGGCCGTTTTTCTGCCCTGCCGCGTGGTCCGCGGCCATTTTCCGCCCTGCTGCGTGGTCCGCGGAT